TTAAATAAAAAAACAGATTATTATTGTTATTTTTATAAATAGAATGTTATTAATATTTGTAAAAATATAATATTTTTATTTATTTTATGAAACAGAATATTCTTTATTTTATAAAAAATATATTTTCTTATGATAAAAAACAGAATATTATTATTATTTGTTAAAACTGAATATTATCATTTATTTAAAACATAGATTATTATTATTTTTAAAAACTGAATATTATTAATATTTGCAAAAACAAATTTTTTTATTTATTTTATTAAACAAATTTTTTATAATTAATATATAAACATATATAGTAGTAACATTATTTAATATTGTATTAACATTTTGTTATTACTTTTTAATATATTGTTATTATATGATAGTTATAATATATTTTTAAAATAGCATTGTCACATAATTTTATAATAGCATGATTATTTTGTAACATAATTGTAAATGTGTAGTATGGAATATTATAAGTACTATCGTAGTTGGATGTACGATCGTGTGTATGCTGGAAGACACGGAATTAAACCACATTTTGAGAAAGGAGTTAAAGCGTTTATTACATGGGCATTTGATCAAGAATGTTGTCGGATAGATGGAGGAGTAAGATATATGTGTCTTAAATGTGGATGTAGATGTATAATAAGTAATTCGAAAGAAGTAGAAACTCATTTGAAGAGAAAGGGATTTAAGGATAATTATTAGGTTTGGACATCAAATGGAGAAGAAATGCTGATGAATATGCCAGAGACTAGTAATTTACAACAGGGCTCAAGTAGTCGATCATAGATGGAATACGAAGAATAATTTAATCTACACGATGACATGATTGGCGATGCTTTAGGGGTAAACGTGGCCTACGATGAACAACAGGATAATGATGAGGAAGAGTTATCGAATGAGAAAGCTTAAAAGTTGTATCAATTGTTGAAAGACATAAACACACCATTATTTGAGGGTTCGTCAGACTCTAAATTATCTATGTGTGTAAGATTGTTGGCCGCGAAGTCAAACTGGAATGCTCCTGATCAGTGTTTGGAATTCTTTTCTCAAATGATGTTGGAGGCGACTCCTACGAAAGACAATTTGCCTAAAAGTTATTATAACGCAAAGAGGTTGGTTATGAAGTTGGGTTTAGAAGTAAGGAAGATTGATTGTTGCATTAGAGGTTGAATGTTGTTCTATGACAATGAGTTTGGTACAAATGATGGAGCGTTAGAGAAATGTAAATTTTGTAACAGTCCAAGGTATGTAGTTCTCACTAAAGCCATTGATCGTAATAAAAAACGGATAGCAGTGAAATCAATGTTTTATTATCGATAATACCAAGGTTGCAAAGATTGTTTGCTTCAACGCACAATGCAAGTCAAATGACATGGCATCATACAAACAAAACAAGTCCAGGCACTATGTGACATCCATCTGATGGCGAGACATGGAAGCACTTTGATCGAATGCATCCTGATTTTGCAGCAGAACCTAGAAATGTCAGACTCAGGTTGTGCTCTGATGGTTTTACTCCATATGTCCAATAGTCGGGAACTGGATACTCTTGTTGGCCGATTATTATTACCCCTTACCCCCCCCCCCGAGATGTGCATGACAAAGGGTTACATGTTTTTGACTTACCTCATTCCAGGGCCGTCGAGTTCAAAAGCAGGAATTGATGTTTATTTACAACCTTTAATTGATGATTTAAAGAGGTTGTGGATTGGAGAATATACTTATGACATATCTCACAAACAAAACTTTAACACGCGAGCTGCTTTGATGTGAACTATTAACGACTTTCCTGCATATGCCATGTTGTCTGGTTGGGGTACACATGGTAAAATGGGATGTCCTCATTGCATGGGTGAGACAAAGGCTTTTACATTGGATAAAGGTGGAAAATTTCATGGTTTGAATGTCATCGTAGATTCCTACCACAAAACCACGAACTTAGAAAAAATAAGAATGATCTCAGAAAAGGTGTAAAAGTAACAGATCTGCCTCCCTCACGTTTGTCATCGGTTGAAGTATGGAACATGGTTCGTGATCTACCAAAATTCACAGTCAATGGAAAAGTGATCTGAATTCCAGGATACATGGATAACCATAATTGGACTAAGAGGAGTACTTTTTGGGACCTCCCATATTGGAAAGATAATTTATTGCGACATAATCTTGATGTTATGCATATAAAGAAGAATTTTTTTTTGATAATTTATTTAACACAGTGATGAATGTCCAAGGCAAGACAAAAGATAATGAGAATGCTAGAAAGGACATGGAATTGTTGTGTAATAAAAAATATTTAGAGTTGAAGACTCTACCGAATGAGAAACTATTAAAACCCAATGCTACTTATAGTCTAACTCCCCAAGAAGCTAAGCTTGTTTGTCGATGGTTAACTGAATTAAGAATTCCCGATGGTTATGCTTCTAACTTGGCAAGGCGTGCTAACGCCAACACTGGGAGTTGAATGGAATGAAAAGTCATGACTGCCATGTTTTCATGGAACGATTGCTTCCAATTTCCTTCAGCTCATTTCCAACACAAGTGCTTAATCCACTAACTGAAATTAGTCAATTTTTTAGAGATATTTGTGCGTCAAATTTAAGAGTAGATGGCCTCATTAAGTTGGACCAAGACATTCCTCTCATTCTATGCAAGTTGGAACAAATTTGTCCACCTGGTTTTTTCGATTCAATGGAACACCTTCCTGTGCATATTGCATATGAAGCTTTTCTTAGGGGACCTGTTCAATATAGGTGGATGTATCCTTTTGAAAGATTCACGGGTGATTCAAATAGGTCGGTGAAAAATAAGGCTAAAGTTAAGGGTTCAATATGTGCACATTATTTGCATCGGGAAACTTCACATTTTTGCTCTCATTATTTCAATCACATGATGTTAATTCCAAGAATCATAAGGAATGAAGTTAATGTTACAGAAAGAAGTCAATTCACCTTATCAGTCTTTGGTCTTCCTGGTCGGAGTTCTGGAAAGACGGATGTGCACTGGCTGACCGAAAAGGAATTGCAATCTGCTCATGTTCATGTGTTGATTAATTGCGTTGAAGTTAAACTATACATTGAGTAAGTATAACGAGTGAATATTTATTTTGAACACACTGGGTATAAATTTCTTACCTTCTAACTTACTTTTAATGTGTTTTGATATAGGTTATATAATAACTTACATTATGAACTCACCGGTGAACAAGCAACAACCACTGGCATACATGCTTATTTTCCATCATGGTTCAAGCAACAATTGACATGTAATGTTGAATCGTCTCCACAATTACTCCATTTGAGAAACTTGTCTGAAGGCCCTATTAAACATGTGAACAAATGGCACACATATTTTGTAAATGGATATAAATTTCACACTGATGAATGGACAAAAGGAAAGAAAGCCATAAATAGTGGCTTATTTGTAAAAGGAGTTACAAATGGTGGTGAAGATGACTTTTATGGTGTCATTACGCACATTTACGATTTGGAATACAATTATTTGGACTCAGAAAACAAAGTTATCTTATTTTATTGTGATTGGTATGATCCATCTGCTAGAGACACAAAAATAAATAAAAAATATAACACTGTAGAGATTAAAATGGACCGAAGGTACAAAAATTATGATCATTTCATCATGACACATCTTGTCAGGCAAGTTTATTACGTCCCTTATCCTTTAACTCAGCGAGGTAAGCGAGATTGGTGTGTTGCAATCAAGTCAAAACCAATAGGCCATATTGAAACTAATGAACTTATGGAAGACCTTGCCTATCAAGTCGATGAAATGTTACAAAATAATGATGTGATTGAAGTTGAACAACTTACAAGTTTGTGTGATAACGTGGTAGAGGGTCAGCAAGTTGATGCGTCTATATTGTTGTCAGAAAATAATGTGGATGGAGATGATGAAGAGTCGGGATCCGCAGAAAATTTGGAATCAAATGAAGATAATGAAGATTTTGAGGATACACAATTTGAGTAGATTGTTTTTTTTATAAATATTGTGTATTTGAATGTTGATGCATATTTATTATTAAATATTGTCTTAGAATTCCTAATAAATATTGTTATTTTTTATTAATTGAAATAGAATCTTTATTAATTGAAATTGAAATTGAGTTATTCTCTTACTTTTTTTTATATTTTCTCTTATTAATTGAAACTGAATATTTATTTATATAAGAAATTTTATATAACCTTCACAAAAATTGAATAGAATTACTCTATATTAAAATAATTTGATTAAGACCAAATATCATGCCAATCAATTTTGAGGATACTCTATGATTACCTTGGAGATATCATGCCAATTGTAAATACTTAAATGTAAATATTAAAATTACTTCAAAAAAGTAAAAAGTTCAACAAATCAATTTACCAATTTCTATGGGAAGAAACTTCTTACGCTTCTAACTCTTGTCAATTTCTCTCTGAAACCCTAGAAGGGCTTCCGCTTCCACTCCTTTATTATATATCTCTAACCCTCAATTTATGAAGCCCTTCATCTATCCTACGAAACCCTTCCTCTAACTCCGAGTATCTCCGTATCTCCTTCAAGAGATACCCTTCCTCTACGAAACCCTTCATCTGCACCATAGAAGCTCATTCAAGAGACCACCTTTTGTGCATACATTTCTCTATGACTTAAGGCAGTCTCAAGAAAGAGCTCAAAACTATTAACCTCGAGTTGACGATCAAACCTCTAAGATGTGAAGTCTCTATCATTGTGAACAGTGTTACGAAGTCCTTCACAAAAGGTATACCTCTGTTTTGGAATATTATAATTTTATTTATTTGTTACAGTATAAACTATTATATATTTTTATAGAAATACTTTGTTTAACTTAGAAACATAGCTATATATTATCCTTAAATGTATAGTATTGTAAATGTAAATTGTAAATTCCATAAGTGATATTGAAATTGTAAAAAATCATATGCTTTTCTATTTATTGGTTGACATAATGATCCTATATGTGTTTTTTCTTTTAATTAGGTAAAATGTCACCTCGTCCGAATAAAAGTAAGGATAAGAAAGCCTGTCGCACGAGGATACATGTAGTTGAGGTGCCTTCAAATTCCATGTATTGTCCTTTGCCTCAGTCTAATCAGGGGCTCAACAGACTACGCCTCAATCTGGTCAGGGGCTCAGCAAACTACATCAGGGGCTCAGCAAACTACACCTCAATCTGGTCAGGATGCTCCACTAGGATTTTTTTATACCCACACCATTTCATCCAGACATACCCCACCATACATGCAGTCTGGGGATCTTGCATCCCATATCCTCCACCTGGACCCTCATCAGTCTATTAGCCCGAGGGATCTTACATCCCGCAACCTCCACGTGGATCCTCAAGGGGCTCACACACCTCACATTCCGACTCACGCACCTCACATTCCCCATATGGATCCTCGACATCCCATCACCCTAGGAGTTCACACACCTCACATGCATCCTCACGAGTCCATCAGGAATAGAATGACCAAGAGGAGGAGGAGGACATTGAGGACGTGGATGTGGTTGTGATGGAATATACATATGAGAAGTTTGAGGGAAGATGGGTTATTAGGCATGTTGGAAACTCGTAAGTTTCTTTCTTATAAATTAAGCATATGCACATGTTTCCATTTTTTTAGATTTAATTAATACTTATTCAAGTTATTGTTGTTTAGTTTTGTGCCAAGTAGGCCTGCTGCAGTTAGCATAAAAGAAGTTATTCAAGAGTTATATAAAGCATCTTGGAAGAGTTTTGGACATCTTATGAAGAAGGATCCTAAGTTGTATGACAAATGGTTTGACAAATTTCAGGTATAATATTTTCTTTAAGCAATTAACTTTTTGGTTTCTAACTATCTTGTTTTAATTATATAATAATTTTTCAATATTGTAGGAGAAGTGCGCGTGAAACCCACTAGATGAGGAGATGATTGAGATTAATTTTAAGAAGAGAGCATCAACCCGACTTTCTGACATGCTTAGGCGTGCCAGGCTTGGATTTGAAGAAAGACGAATCAAGCCTCCTTGGATGGGTGAAAATTTATTTAAAGAAATGCTTGGTTACTGAAAATCATATGAGTTTAAAAAAAATATGAAAAGGCAAAGCAACGTAGAGCATTAGAAAGGGGAGTCACGAATCATAGAGCTGGAAACATTAGTATTGTCGATCATGCTAATAGGATGGTAATTATATTTTCATCTCACTACTTTTTTTAAATTATATTCTTAATTGTGATATATTTTAATTGAAGTTCTATGTGTATTAATTAGGCTCATGCTAAAGAAAGAACTCCATTAATGCAAAAGCTTCACGAGAGGACTTATCGGGGATGAGATGGAGAGTATAGTGACGACCGTGCTAGAGAAATTTTTTTAATTAAATAAATTGCCTCAGCCGGAACTCCCCTTTTTTTATTTTATTTTGAAGCATATAATTTTCCCTCCGCATCTCTCCATTTAACCAAACATTTTAGAAGAAACTTTCTGCATATCCAAATTTGTTGACAAAATAATGTATTCATCTTTTTTCTCTTCTCAATTAAGTGTTTTGGATGAAAAAAATAGTACTCGTGATGTTATGTTAATTAGCGTAAATACCGTTGGCAATACTATTATGAGATAGATTGAATAGACAATAGTTGCAATTGCTTTTCCATTTTGCTTATGTTTAGAAATAGAGTTAAAGTTGTTTAACTTGAATCAAATGCTTAAATTAAATTTCCATTTCACCTTGCAATTGCTTTTCCATTTTGCTTATGTTTAGAAATAGAGTTAGAGTTGCTTAACTTGAATCAAGTGCTTAAATTAAATTTCCATTTTCATCGGAAGAAGAAAGTATATGTTACCCACAATCAATATTCATAATTTTTTACGTATGTGTAGGTGGAGTACCAAATATTGAAGGCATAACTTTTAGCTAAACATCCTGAGTTAGGTGGTTCACGGGGACAACATCCTCTTGATCCAACAGTTGATCAATATTTGTGGTTGAAAGCAAGTAAGGGAAATAAAAGAAATGGAAAAATTTATGCTACCAGACCTTTAGCTGGCAACTACAAAAAAGGGGATAAGTATTCTTTATTTAGGAGAATTGCAGTAGGGGAAGGATCTTCACGTCCCCCGACATTAACCCCTCAAATGAGTGAAACAATTAGGAAGCTAGCTAAAAGTGAAGTAGCAGGTGAAAGTGAAGCATTGAAAAAAAAAACAAATGGAGTTGGAGGAAGCATTGAGACTTTCACAAGAGCAAATAATGCTTACACAACAATAAATTCAGCAACAAGTACAACAACAAATACAACAACAAATGCAACAAATGTTTCAACAATATGGTGGTGGCGGAGTTGGAGCAGTTGGTAACCAAGGAGCGGTAAACGAGAATGAGAATGATGAAGAAAACAGAAACGACAAAGACTATTCAGATTTTGAATGAATATCATTTTGAATTTAAATATTTTAAATTAATTATGAGTTTATTTATCTATGGATTTTTTTTTAAAATTAAGTATGAATTTACATATTTAGAAATAATTATAAATTTAGTATTTTTAAAAATTTCAGAATTTAAATTATTTATTATATTTATATTATTTAAAATATTAATTTAACATTTAAAATAATATAAATATTTTTTTATTATATTCTTTACTGTTTGCGTGGTGAATTTCATAAGGCATATTCAAACGTTGCCAGGTGATATACACCCCGCAAGTTTCTGCAAGTTTTTGCTTCACTCTGCTACTCACCTACTCTAACATGCGTTGAATTCTGGGAAAAACGTTGCGGGGTGCTTTTCACCACGCAAATTTCTGCCACTTTCTGCTCTATTTGCTCTGGATCATCTGCTACTCAACTGCTCTGATATATGTTGAAATCTGGGAAAAGAGTTGCGTGGTGCTTTTGACTTGGCAAAATTGCGAGGTGCTTTTCTTTTTGCAAAGTTGCGGGGTACATTTCCCCTTGCAAAAAGTTGTGACTAACGTTTTTGCGGGGTATCCTCTGCACCCCGCAAAAATGACGTTGTAGGATGATATTTGCTTTTGCGGAGTGCTACTCACCTGGCAAATCAGAGTTTTTTTTTTGTAGTGAAAAAATCACAAAAAAATGTACTTAACATCATGTTATTTTGTTATTTACTATTTTTACTTCTTTACTAAAAAATTATCAAAAATATGTTCTTTTATTAATTTAAATTTATATATTGGTATCATTTATTTCAAAAAAAAAATCTATAAAATGTATATAAGTCCTTTTACTTTTTTAGAATATGTATTTTATTTTTTATCTTTTTAAATTGCACTTTTATTTTCATTTATTTTATTTCAAGAAAAAATCATAAATAGTTAATTTAATATCTCTTTTATTTTCTATTTTCTATTTATTATTATTACTAACACTTTTAGTAATTATTATTATTATTTTATTATTATTATTATTATTATTATTATTATTATTATTATTATTATTATTATTATTATTATTATTATTACTTTGTCCTTTTATTTTTTTGTCACTAAAAAAAAGTTGGGACCACTACAATATAGTACAAACACATGTATTGTCAACTTGTACTTACCAATGACCAATAATTATTCTTTTCTTTCAAGTCATTTCTTCCTTTTATTGAATAGAATAATATTTGTTCTTTATTTATTTTTTTGCTTTATGCACTCTGGTTCCTAGGGGAAAGGGGCCATAGTAATCTAGAGTTCATGTCGAGAGATCATGGCACTGGTCAAATATTGTTCCCACCAGGAATTGAATTCGGTATTCCTCGAGTGTCATCCTTTGCAGGAGCTCCTTTACCACTGGAGCCCAAGTGCTTGGTTTACTTGTTCTTCATTTAATTCTACTGAATTTTAATTTTTCTTATTTATTTAGTACCATAATTATCACCAGTTTGCAAGGAAACTTTATTGATTCAAAATCAAGAGTTAAAAAGTGTTCTTGAACCTCCAAAAGCAAAAGTGATTTATTATTGTTTAAATTTTGTTTTTCTGTAATTTTTTGTTGTTTATTTATTTACTTATTTTGAGCATGGATCCTTGCTCGTGAGATTGAGTAGATAAATTTTCATTATTCATTTGTTTAATTTCATGAAAAATTGAGAAGGTTATGAAATTTTTACTATTTTTATTATAGACTTCATCTTATTCTTCTTTATCTATTTTATTTTTATTTTTATTTGGATCAATTTGGAAAATATTTGAGCTTTTTAGTTCACCTAAGCTTGTCAGGTATTTGATGAACTTTCATCATTTCCAATCTACCTCAAAATGGTCCTTTGATCATTCAAGGTATTTGAGATTGATGATAAGTTTGTTATAATGTATCTTCCTTGACTTTATCTTGGTCCCCCGTGTTTGTTAATTGTAATACATGTATAAGAGAATAGACTTCAAAGTGTCATTTCTCTAACATGTATGATTGCATACTTTCTATGCTCCATATGAAGTTACACTTGTCCCGAATCAGATAATTAATTATTAACACTAATTTTATATTGTACTGTACTAACTTTACTTTAATTTCCTTTATATTTCCTCACTTTATATTTTCGCATTTTATATTTTCCGCTCTTTACTTTTATTCCATTTATCATTCATATCATTTTATTTTCTTTATTTTATACGTTTTTTTCTTTGCTCACTTGAGAATTTATCTTCTCTTTGCTCACTTGAGCTTCTTATTTTCTTTTGCTTGTCATAATCCACTTAATAAAGAAAAACTTAAAATTGGTTCTTTAATCCTTGGACTATGGTTACTATCCATTTTCATCTGATGCATGTTATTGTTCGGTCTTTATCTGATTATTATCCTTGTATTTGAATCTAAGGGAAATGATTATCTTGTTGACTTTATGTTATTGTGTGTCTTTTGCATGGCACGTCTTTTGGTTATCTATTTTATTTGGTTCTCCTTAGTTAAACCCCAATTTTCAAACTTACACCTTTTTCATATAAACCTCGACATTAGGTCATTGCATTTTCAAAATTTCCTTAAACCATACTCTTTTAGCAAATAATAATTCTTTAGCAAAAAAAAAAAACAAACAAAAAACATAGATATTTCAAAAGGTACCTGTAGAGTACTATAGATGCTTTGGGTGCTAACACCTTCCCTTTCCAACCCCCGTACCATTTAATCTCTTTATTGAATTGCTTCTAGCTTTCTTGCTTCTTTGCATTGCATGTTTATTTATGGGTTTTATTTCGCTCTTTTCCCTTTTCTCTTGGAAATAATAAACCGCGATGGCGACTCTGGCTTTTTTGGCGAGTCAAGTTAATTAATAGCTTGATCTCCAATTCTCACCGCT